TTTTTCCCTATCCATTATGTATTTGGTAGGTCTTAATCCTAAGTAGGATGTTCAATTGCGGGACAATTTTTTTAAAGAAGCAACCTTTCCTCATAATAAGTGGGAGTTTCATATCCAAGTGCAATTTGTTTAATTATGTGAAGTTGTGAACGTATTCTTTATTGTCCTAATTGTTTTGCATTCAATTCCATTTTCTGCATCATGCAATTGATTTGTATTCTTAAACAAAGTTCTTGGCTACGTTGGATTTGTGGAATACCCCATTAATACTACAGGACATGAGATTTTGAATTATTTGAAGGATAGTACTTAGTAGAGATATTTGAGCTTTATAATTGGTTTATGAATGATACGTATATGTTGGAGCTTTTGAAGAAGTTGGATATGGCATGTATTCATTAAAGCCGTTGTTTGGGAATTTGCATGATGTGTTGAGGACAGTTGTTTCAGAGCACACCGAATGGATTGGGGAAGCAAGGGAAACAATGGAAAAATGGGGCTTTCTTCTCCAGTATGGATTTTGATGTTGGGGAATAAGTGTTAGTTATCTACTGTATTGTTGTCGTTGCATTAAGAATTAGGTTTAATTTATTCAGGGGAGTTGATTTTGGTTTGGTTAGTTATAAGGAAAAAAAACACCCCTTTTCCATGTTTTCTTACGGGTATGTTATTTGTAGGTCTTTATCCTAAGGTAGGATGTTCGATTGTGTGGCAACTTTTGTAAAAGAAGAAATCGTTGCTAATGATACGTACCCATGCAAGTGCAATTTACTTAATCTTGTGAACATTTTTTTAATTGTCACAAGTGCTTTGCATTCACCTCCATTTTTCTATTCATCCTATTGCTTACTCATATTTCTTAGAGGTTTTTAGGATGAAGGGTGTAGGATGGTGGAGATGATCTGTGAGTGATACGATGAGAATCCTGTTGAGAGACCTAATCTAGACTCATACTATGGTAGGATGTTGGCTATGTTGGAGTAGAAGGTTACGACGATTTATATGAAAGGGTACAAGACTTTGAGGAAATTGAAGGATAATATTTGTAGGGGTATTTGAGCTTTATAATGGGTTTATGAATAATAAGAATAAGATGGATTTTGGAGAAGTTGGATGCAGCATTTGATTCGTTGAGGGAGTTGTTTGGAGAATTTGCATGATGTGTTGAGGAAGCAGTTGTTTGAGAGCCCATTGAATGGATTGGGGAAGCAAGGAACAATGAAAGATGGGCTTTTTTTCTCTGGAATGGGGTTTGAAGTTGAGGAATAAGTGTATCTACTATACTGTTATTATATTTAGAATTGGTTTAATTTATTCAGGGGAGTGAATTTTGGTTTAGTTAGTTATCAAACAGACAGCACCCCCTTCTGTATGTTTTTTTCCTCATATTATGATTATCTTATTTTGTAGGTCTTTATCCTAATGTAGGATGTTGTGTGACAATTTTGTAACGAAGAAATCTTTGCTAATGGCAACTGGGATTATATATGCAAGTATAATTTGTTTAACTATCTAAGGTTTCAAACATTTTCTTTAACTATGTGAAGTTTGAACATTTTCTTTAACAATTTGTTTAACTATGTGAAAAGAGCAATCTTTGGTATTGTTAAATCGGGATCACATGCAAGTGCAATTTATCTAATTGTGTGAACATTTCTTTATTGCCCTAGGTACTTTGCGTTCAGTTCTATTTTGTATCCATGCTATCGTTGTCTCGCTTAATCAAAAGGGTATTGGATGGTGGAAATGAACAATGAAGAGCACGATGAGACTGTGGTTCAGACCAAATTCTTCACATGTACTGTAGGAACAATGGTTGCTATACTGAGGTTGAAGGATACACTTATTAATGAAAGGGCATGAGACTTTGAGGCATACCTTTGAGTCTTCTAATCCTTGTTTTTGTATAATAAGAATACAGTGGAGCTTTTGAGGTTTGATGCGACATTTGATTTGTTGGTGGAATAGTTTGAGAATTCACCTGTGTTGAGGAAGCAGTCTTAGGATAGTACTTGTAGTGATGAATTTGAGCTTTATAATGGGTTACATAATAGGAAAACGACAGAGATTTTGGAAAGGTTGGATTGTTGAAGGAGTTGTTTGAGAATTTGCATGTTTTGAGGAAGCAGTTGTTTGAGAGGCCGCCAAATGGATTGGAACGCAAGCTAGGCAAATGATGAAGGATGGGATCCCCCCCTTTCTATGGTATGGATTTTGATGTTGAGGAAAAGTGTTAGCTATCTGTTGTGATTGTTGCATATAGAATTGGGTTTAATTTAGTTCAGGAGAATGGATTCTGATTTAGTCAGAAAACACTCCTTTTCCATGTTAACTTATATCAATTATGCTATTTTGCATGTCTTGATTCTAAGGTAGGAAGTTCAATTGTATGTCATTCTTTTCTTAAAAAAAAAAGCAATCTTTGCTAATGATACAAAGGAATTAGATTACATATGCAAGTGGATGCTTAGCATGCAGTTCGTTTTCTACATTATGCAATTGATTGTTGACTTGACCAAAGGTCTTGATATTTCTGAAAGAGAGGGAAGTTTTGGATGCTTACTCTTAGCTATTACAGTCTATATTAGGCTCCAGTTGGTTATTTACAGGTCTATCGTACGATGGGAAGTTCAATTCTATGACATTTTCTTTGAGAGAGATGATTGCTAATTTTAAGAAGAGATTACACATGCAAATGGAAATTAATGTTATTTGTCATCCCAAATACTTATCATTCAGTTCCATTTTGTACATGAAGATGCGAGAAATTTCTTAGGGTTTTTGATGATGAGGGTGTAGGATAGTGGAGATGAGCTGTGAGGACAGTGAGAATGCAGTGGAGACCCAATTCTCGACTAATACTGTGGGGAGAATGTTGGCTAGGTTGGCACTGAAGGATACACCTATACATTCTCTGGTATGGATTTTGATATTGAGAAGTAAGTGTTGGTTTTCTTTTACTGTTGTTATATTTAGAATTGGGTTTAATTCATTCAGGGCTGTTGATTTTGGTTTAGTTAGTTATAAGAACCACTCCCTCCATGGCTCCATGTTCCCTTACATCGGGTATGTTATTTTGTGGGTCTTTATCTCAAGGCAAGGAGTTCAATTGCGTGACAATTCTTTCTCCAGAAAGCAACCTTTGGTAATGTAAGAAGGGATTACCTGTTCAAGTGCAATTTCTTCAATTCTATGAGAATTTTTTTTATTCTGTTAAGTGCTCAGCATTATATTCTCTTTTCTACATTGTGCAATTGACGTTTTTCTTATTCGAAGTTCTTGATATTTCTGAAAGGCTTGTGTGATGATGAAGAAGGAAGTTTTGAATGCTTACTTCTTAGCTAATACAGTTAGTACTAGGCTCCAGTTGGAGTAGAGTGAATATTCATGATTATGTGTGCTTGCTTCTTTGAGGTTTGATCTGAACTGCAAAACAAGAATATCTAAATTTTATTATATGCAGCTTAAGCATAGAGGGGAGAAGGGTGCACTATTCGATTCTGAGCAGTAATTGGTTGATTTTCATTCTTTGCTATTTTGCGAACACTCGTGTGCAAGCTGTGATGTTATGCTCTAGTGATCACCCAGGTGAGTATTGTCCATTGCATTTGAATATATTGAGTAGCCCAGTAATCTACTGAATGCCCCATCCTGGTTCAGTTGAGTTGTTAAACTTTCTTTTAAGGGGTTTTTCGATATTACTCCCTTAAATCTTTAGTAATTTGATATTAGTCCCTCAAATCTTTATATTTTGATTAGTCCCTCAAATCTTCATTATGTGTTGATAAAAGTCCTTCTGTTAGGGTTAGGGTTTAAAACACTAAGCCATGGTTGGGTGAACCCTGACCAACCA